CCTAAGCCATGGGGGTGAGCAACATTGTCCACGTCACGCTGCCCGTTCAGTTGGGCTACATTCACATATCACAAGACACATACAGAAAAAATCCATGCCCTGAGTGGAATTCGAACCCACTACCTTTGGCATCTCAGTCAGGCACGTTGACTACTCGGCCACCTGGTCTGAATAAATTAAAGCTCGTCATCATTGGTGTTGTTGTTGTTACTTTACGTCGCACTAGAGCTGCACAATGGGCTATTGGCGACGGTCTGGGAAACATCCCGGAGGATGATCCNTTAATTTTTTTTAAATTTTAAAAAAAGTTGAAAAAATTCTCAATTTTTAAATCCCTAAGGCTTTTTTATTTTAACATATTTTCAAAAAAAGTTTTTTTCATAGTGCTTGCAATATTTATCTTCACAATTTTGTGCATTCGTTTGTTGATATATCAATTAGAATATTTTTTATAGATTATTTTGTAAAAAAGTAGAAAAAAAAGGGTAAAAATTCCTGTTAGGTATATATAACATGCCATAAAAGTTGTAATACCTCATAAAATGCTTATTCCATGCACAGTTTAAATAAGTGTATTATACTCAAGATAAAAAAGTTTACTTCAAAGCTTTATCTTAAATAGAAAAAATCCTTAGGGATTTAATTAAGATTAAGACACAAAATTATCATCTATGCGAAAAAGCACTTTAAAGTCAGACTGCTGAGCAAGTTTCTGTATTAGAACAATTTAAAATCATTCATAACTTTTGTAAAAATGTAGATAGAGAGATGAATTTTTTTCTGTACATTTGAAATAGTTTGAAGTTTTATTATAAGCAATAAAAAAAAATTTGGTATTTTTGTCATTTTTTGGGTACTGTGACCCCTTAACAGGTATGTAGGTATTTTATTCACGTCGCACTAGAGCTGCACAGTGGGAAATTGGAGACTGTCTGGGAAACATCCCTGAGGATGATCCGAAGACATGCCATCGCAATTTTGATCCTCTCCAGGGGGGATGGCTCCCCTGATTTTGTAGCCCGATAACCTGCTCGAAGTCGAGTATTTTAGTGCAAAACAGATTAACGAAGACCGATACCGCGCAACCTCAGTCCCTACGGAGGCTGATCAAATTGGTCACCCACCCGCTTACTGACCGCAGCCAGTGATGACCTACTGAGAACCGTGTCTTTACGATCAGTTCATTGTGGGACACCAGGCTTAACAGAGAGGAACGAATAAAAATAATACATTATTAAATTATTCTCTACGTTTTACATGAAACTTAGATTAAAATATAAATATCCTTATTACACGACTGAAAACATACATACATGTTTTTAACCACGAATTTCAGTTTCTGAAGATGATAGCAACATTGAAGACAGTCACTAACACTCGCCAATCCGACATTGAGTGTTATTATTTTTTTTCTTCTTCCTAACGGCGAACACTGAACTTCTTATTCTTTGTCTCAAGAGATTCTTGAACTGTTGCTCATTTAACATAACCCGGTGTTCATCTATGAACCTAAGCCATGGCGGCGAGAAACATTGAACACGCCACCCTGCCACTGACCCATTCAGTTGGGCTACATTCACATATCACAAGACAACACACATACAGAAACAGTTCCCTGAGTGGAATTTGAACCCACTACCATTGTCATCTCAGTCAGGCACGCTGACAACTCGGCCACAGTGTTTGCCAGGTGTCGATAACCGTTCACCCCCAGATAACGTTGTAAAATCCCCTAAATATTTTTTAAAAAACCCAAAATTTTTAACTTAATGTATAAATATTAAAAAATAGTAAGAAAGTTAAATAATGAATAGAAGACGTTGCTTTAATATCTATATTATATAATAGGCAACCTAGTCTATATTATATAAAACGCTAATACGTACGTATGTATCAATAAAACCGATGATATTTCTTTTCTCGCGTTGGCAGCAGTTTTCATTTTTAATTGATTGGATTCGACGCGCAAGAGCACGTAGTGAGCATCATATGGCTAATCCAAGTTATATTAAACGCTAACACGTTTTAATTGGGTATAATATGAAAAAAGCACAACTACTTCCACTTACTAGGAATAACATTTACCTTTTAGTTTAATTAATAAACTGAGTTTTAAATATGCTTACTAAATTCATAAACTTCGGTCAAACAACAATATAAATTATTTCCAAAGGAACTAGACTAATACAATTCCAACCTGGCGAGTAGCGACTTATAACAAGACACTTCGTTTGATGCTTTTACTTGTTGCTAGAAATCAGGTTCGCAGAAAATGCTGTTTACTAGTTAAATTTAGTAGGAATAACACGATCTGTGACGTAGGCTATAGTATACCCAATTGATAGGCTTCGGCGCGCAAGAGCACGTAGTGAGCAGTAATATGTGAACTGTTTGCAATTTCAAATTAATATTGAAATGTACAGGTTTAGAATTTTCTACAGTGAAAAGTTTTCGGAACTTCAGTGTTCAAAAAAAGTATACAAAAGCTAGACGTTAAGAACGTATCCAATGAGCGAGTAAAGCGAGCATTGGATTGCGAAGCAATCCGAAATGAACTGCGAAAGCAGTTCCGGGGGTTGGCGAGCACCAGCGAGCAGGGGGCGAAGCCTCCAAGTTTTTTAATATTTTATTATCAACAAATTAATCTTTTTTACATTTTAATCGTTATATTATCTTTAATTCCTACTATAATATTTAAGATATTTTTTTGAATACTCGCACATTTTTTCATAAATATTTTATTATCAACGATATAGTCTTTTTAGTATTTTAATTCTAACTTTATACTTAAATTTCTGATAAAATATCCAACATATTTTCGTCAATACTTTCTGATTTGTATATGTTTTCGCTGTTAAACATTTTTAACATGGAAGAAGTAGGTACAAAACTTTGGCAACCATTAGAAAGTTCATATCGCACGCGCAAAATATTATCAGCTGTAGTTATAGACATTTTATTTCTCAATTTGTCTTTAATAATATTTAATATGGAGAAACATCTCTCCACAGCTGCATTTGAAAACAGAATACTTAATAAAACTAAAACAAGAGTCGAGCTAAGTAAACTTAAGTCGAGAATCGAGCTAAGTAATAACTTACTACATTCAACAAAGGGGTTTAATTCTAAAATAAAATCTGAATCTTTTTGTTTTGGTTTAACATATTGATTTTCATATTACCATCTCATACATTCTGTTATAAAATTTGATATTAGAACGTAACCAAAATTAAACGAGTACAATTCACAAATAACCCTAAAACAAACCCCTAAAAACAAATTCCCCTGAAATACCCACTGAAGATAAAAAAAATCCCCCTAAATTTAGGGGGAAAACCCCTAATCTGGCAACACTGCTCGGCCACCTGGTCAGCAAGATAGATTAAATTAAAGAGCGCCATCATTGGTGTTTACATGTAATGTAAATCTTGATGTAAACATTTTGCATTTGTGGAGTTCAGAGCCTTCATACACCCTATAAAGAGTACATGATAGCTCGATAAGTTGTACATGATAGCTCGATAAGTTGTATATGATAGCTCGATTCGGTGTTTTTCACACAACTTTTAGGGTCACTCATGGCTCAACATCAAATTAGGAGAGACATACACCACAGTTTTTACTGTGTGCTTGCAGCTGTCAGAAAGCGATTGAAATTTGCATTGTCATCAAGCATAGATTTCCAGTGCAGATTTATGTGCTCCAGCTAATCGGAAAATGTTGAAATGATTGCAAAATTGCACTTGCATGGGCACGAGGAAGAGTTGATATAAAACATTTTTAAAAAAAACTATGCTTGTTTTAGTTAAATCTTAAAGTTAATCCTTTCGGGAAAAAATGCCAACTTGGATAAAATACTTAAAAAAATCAAGTTAACTTACCTCAATAACTTAATTAACATCTCATTAAATAAACGACAAAAAATTACAAAATTCACTTTTTATTTGAATATTTTAGAAACTTAAAATATCCATCTGCTGTGTGAAAATTAAATAAACAATCACCAAACAAATTTGAGAATTTTTATTAGTCTTCATGTCTGTTCACAAAATATATATATAAAAAAAAAACAGTTATAAAATAGAGATTAAAAAATTGCAAGAAAACATGAAGAACAAAATATTTACATTAAGTAGCAAAATCGCATAAGATTATATAAACAAGCGATTCTCTCTTAAACTCCCTTACATGTAAAAGAAACATTATGCTAAAATTGAAACTTTTCAAAAATAAATGCTTCAAAATTATTTACATATCAAAATATTTCTTATACAAAAATCAAAATTTATTCCGCGAACAAATTGCAACTTAAAATTTCTTTTAAACATCTTATTCTTACATTCTTTATTCAAAAACGAAAATTTGAAAATATACCGTGAGCAAACTATTTCCCACCCGTTTATAGGGTGGAACCATTCATACATCCATTCATTCATCCGTAGATCGTAATTTTGATCTGAACTGGAAAACGATCTATCTCCAATCCAGTACTCCCAGAGGTATAATTTGTTATGGGAACATGAAGGACTTTGTGACTCGATAGATTTAACGTTCACCAGTCTCCATTTACTACACTGAGAGTCTTCGGCCAGTTGTATTTGAACTCCCTTTCTCATGAAAGTGAATCCAGCACCCTACCAATCCATATATCCCAGCTTAAAGTAATTCACATTTTGGGACTATAGAAATTGCGAAGAAGACTGAAAATCGAATAATTGAGGATTATAGCAACAGGCAATAGTTTGTATCAAACTCGTATTTTTTGAGTGAACTAAGAAAACTATAGTCTAGTTTTGTAAATGTGTTTACATCTTTTGATGTATCCTAACAAGCAACTGTGCGTTTAGTGATTTTTTTTTACCTCTTTATCAATATGTAAATATATATTTCTATACAATAATTATTCTTTTACCGAAACGTATTTTCCAGTAATAAACAGTATAATCATTAAAAAGTAATCACTATATTGAAAAAAAAAATATTTACAAAATTCTCTTATAAACAATGTTTATCACAAATTTTCTAAATTTCGATTACATGTATTAAATGTACACACATAAGCATTTACATAAAGCATTTGCAAAAAACACTCAAAAGCACCAGATCTTATTCCTCTAAAATGATATGCTAATTAATCTTAAAAGGACCACTAATTACTCGATGTTTCGTTTGTAACACCAATTCTAAACTGATCCAAATTAAAAATAAATAAAAATTCTTAAATATTTAGAGTTTTGTCATTTACATGCAAATAGACACCTGTCTTTCAAGAATTATAGTAAAAATTGTACTCGTCATACATTTTTGTAAGAATTATATGCGGCATGTAAGAGTTGTAATCGCCTTACATAAGATTGTAGTTTTATTAGCATTTTTATAAAAATTGTACACATCTCACATTGTTTTCGTCTTACATTGGCTTACAAAAATCACCATGTTGGCTTGTGAAAATTGCACATATTTACTTTAAAATGCCTCTTGTTGACTTGCAAAAATCTACTAATAAACTTGCAAAGATGGCATTCTATGGCACATTCACAAAAAATACAAGCAAGCCTGTTCAGAGTTCACCTTATATTGACTATAGTAATAATTGCACCTCTTGCATTGTTAAATACCTTGTAAAAGTCATGCTAATTGCCTTCTACGTTTGGCACTTAGAGAAAAATACAATCACGCTAGTCCATAAGTGGAGTTCACTTCATGCTAGTACTGCTAGTAACATTGCAGTAATTGTCTTGTAAAATAGCACTTATTAGCTTGTAAAAATGGCACTTTCTCAAAAATACAATCAAGCTTGTTCATAAAATGAGTTTACCTTACATTAGATAAGCTAAAAAAGTTGCACTTATTTACTTTTAAAATTTGCACTTATTGACTTGTAAAAATTGCACTAACTGGCAATAAAACTGGCATTCTATGATACTTTCAAAAAATACAATCACGCTAGTTTACAAGAGCGTTAATTTGAACAAAAAATTGAAGCTACTGTCCAGCAAAATGACTATATGTAGTCTCATAAGGATATGTGTTCAAGAATCCCATGCTTCCCATAGGCGGAAGTACTTGATAGCTACCAGTGTCTTCTATAGTTATATAACGATTATTATATGGAGGTGGTGGATTTGGTGGCATAATCATAGGCTGAGGTGTAACTGAAAATAAAGCAATTTAAATTTAGCGTCTTTTGTCACATGATTTAGAACAAATTATTTATGTGAAGAGAATCCATTAAAAGTATAAAAAAATTGAATTAAAGAGACATGAAGACAAAAAATACAATAAGTCAAAATGGTAGGTAAGTACTTTATTTACGTCGCACTAGAGCAGCACAATGGGCTATTGGCGACAGTCTGGGAAACATACCTGAAGATGATTCGAAGACATGCCATCGTAATTTTGATCCTCTGCAGAGGGGATGACTCCCCTGCTATGGTAGCCCGACGACCTGAGAAAATTCGAGCTCTTTACGGTATAACAATTTAACAAGAACCTATACCGTGCTCCCTCGGTCCCTATGCAGGCTGATCAAAGTGGTCATCCTCCCGCTTACTGACCGCAGCCAGTGGTGCTTGACTTCAGTGTTCTACTGGGAACCGTGTCTTTACGATCAGTCCACTGCGGGACAAGTCAAAATGGAAAAGCGCTACAAGTAGCGTAAAACCAAAATTGTCTTTAGTACACAATTTAAATTAATATGGGAGAACTTAAACCAAAGCTAAACGAAATTTCAAAAATAAGCGTGTCAGCAAGAACAGTCCTTCAGGGCACACTGTTAACATGTTGGATCCCATCTGTAGTCAGTGGTTCAAGTCATGGGGGTAATAGGGTGTAGTCATGGGGCCTCGGGGCGCACTCACGGAAATGCTCACGGTTTCGGCACCGCTTGGCGCGGTCGAGAATAAGCTCTCTGAAAACAGCAAAATTGAGAATATGGTAACCCAACCCGATCTATGCGTCAAATCTTGCTACAACGTGCAACCCTATTACGTTGATTGAGTAGGAAAATGATGGTTCTATTCTAGTTAAAAATTTCTTTCTTATTCACTTCTATCTTCACACCGCTCTTGTATTTTTTATAAGCGGTTTTCGTTTTGAATGAAAAATTCATACTTAATTTAATGTTTATGTCTCAGAATTTTNATAAAAAACACTTCTGAGAAAACTCCAAACAAGTCAATACAATCAATGTATCAGAATACGTCATCAGGTCAATGCCCTTCACAGTCATAAAATTTTAAAATTAAATTCCAGCTTAGAAGTTCAGATTAAAACTAAATTTGAAAGATTTAATTAAAATTATTACTAAATATTGCAAATAGAATTTTGTGTTTTAATATTTGAGTTACATGATCTTATGAAAACACTAAAACAATGAAAAAAATTGTAATAAAATAGTGAAAACAATTCTATCCCTTGTTTATAAGCGCTACGCAAAAGCAATTTGGCGACAGAGCAGGTTTGACTTAAAAGTTTCCGCCAAGAATGCCAAGCGGTGCCGAAACCGTGAGCATTTCCGTGAGTGCCCTCGGGGCACAGTCAGTTTTTGGGACTACATAAAGGGTCCAGTATGATATCGGGATAGTGTGTCCCCGGAAGAAGTACTGTTTTTGATGACATGCTTATTTTTGAAATTTCATTTGGTTTATTTAATTTCTCCCACATTTATTTAAATTATGTAGAGAGAATTAGTTGTCTGCAGTTTGAAATAATTAGTTACCAATTTGCTGTTTATATTATATTAAAGAAATATTTCTTTAGAATGATTACATTACTTGAAAACTACTAGATCTAATCCAAATGTTATGTAATTTGGTGCGCCGAAATCTGTAAAGCCGTGAAAAGCATTCGCAAAAGTTCGAAAGTAATGTTAAAAAATTTTGAATATTTATGAAAATTAAAAACGAAAGTTTAAAATTTTACAAGAGTAATTTCAATTTCTTCAAAAGAGTTTTGAAATTTATGTGAAGTAATTCGAAATTTGCAGTTAATATTGTTAGAAAAAAAATACGAGAACAAATATTAAATATAATTTTTTGTAAAACTTTTTCACCTAAATATTTTTAATATTTTTTTCAGTGAAATAAACAAATTTCTCAAGGCTGACATACATTACATTAAATTTAAGCCAGAAGTTTCATGAACCGAAGATTTCCTACTTTTATTATTAAAAGCATTGCACGCATAAAAATTCAGGCATTATATATCAAACATTATGTATGCATATTATATGTATATTGTTATAAGATGCATAGAAAATCAAAATGGTGTAACTATGATATCAAGTTGTTGTTGTTATAGTTCATTTACGTCGTGCTAGAGCTGCACACTGGGCTATTGGCGACTGTCTGGGAAACATCCCTGAGGATGATCCGAAGACATGCCATCACAATTTTGATTCTCTGCAGAGGGGATGGCTCCCCCGCTTCGGTAGTCCGACGATCTGCTCGCGAAGTCGAGCACTTTTATGTAGAACAGTTTAATGTTGTTGTTGTTGTTGCTAATTTACGTCGCACTAGAGCTGCACAATGGGCTATTGGCGACGGTCTGGGAAACATCTCGGAGTATGATCCGAAGACATGGCATCACAATTTTTATATTCTGCGGAGGGGATGGCACCCCCGCTTCGATAGCCCGACGACCTGCGCGTGAAGTCGAGCACTTTACGGTAGCACAGTTTAACGAGGACTAATACCGCACACCCTTGGTCTCTATTCAGACTGATCCAAGTGGTCACCCACCCGCACACTGACAGCAGCCAGTGATGTTTGACTTCGGTGATCTGCTGGGAATCGCGCCTTAAGGATCAGTCTACTGCGGGACAACTATGATATCAAAACAAAACATTCATGGCTTATTTCCGACTAAGTTATGGAATAAGTCTGAGAAAAGTTCCGACAATATGACGTCATACATTTAAAATTCCTAGTAAGGATTTAGTACTTTTTGGTTAGTCAGTCAAGCGCAAGGAAATTCAAAAAAAAATTTTAAAAAAAATTTACCTTCATATTTATTTAATTTTTAATTTTCCATTTTGTTCATTGTTTTAAAAAATAAATTAAATTAAAATAATGGCAAAAAAATAATAAATAAATAGCGGATGTCTACTTTTTTAGCGTCTTTGCGCTTGCGCCTGGCGAACCGAAATGTACCTAAAAATTTACTAATTGTGTCATTCAGACGTAACTTAAAACGCAACATTTTTATCGCCTGATCAAAAAATGGTCCCTCAAAAGAATTTTTGAATCTTGCGCTAAAATTTCTGAATCTCACCATAAGTTAAGGTAGAAATAAATCTGAATGGCCTTTCGAGTAATCTGTTTAGAGTAATCTGTAGTCACATTGATGTAATCTGCGCAGGTGAAACTCATCAATTGATACGAGAATTGTCCTGTAAGCTAAAGTTGTCTTGCAAATATATTGATACTGAAGAGTATCGGAAATTTTAATTTACCTTTTACTAAATATTTGTTACAAAATTTTTGGTGTAGAAAAATTTGGAGATAGAAACCAACAAAATATATTCTTTTTACTAAGAATTTCTGTTGAAAATGACAGCCAGACGAAATACTAACCTACCTCTGTTTGAGATAGTACTTGTATTCGATGCTGGTACTGAAGAAATGGTTTCAGCTACAACTTTTTTCTTTGTTTCAGTATTTCGTGGTTTCCGTCTTCTGGTCTGAATAGTGTCCTTTCTCATACTCTTCGGTCGCTTTCTCTGAAAAACAAATGAATTTTCAGTCAATTAAAAAAAGTCTACCTAATACACTGAAAAAATAAATATTGTCAAAAACTACCAGAATATGGTAAAATTTATGGCGTTTCTGGCTCTTTGGAAAAACCAAAAGTTTGGTAATTTTTACCAAAGTTCTTTTGTAAAATTAACAATAAAATATAGCTTCATAATGCGTGATAAAATTTGGTAAATGTTAATTTTATCATGATACCTTAGCATGGAAAAAAAATCATTTATTTGGTTAAATTTTTTTTCAGTTTTGTATTTTTTTATAAATGTAAGGAACTAAAAATTTTTTTTTGAAAATTAGAATTTCCGTAAGCCATATGAACAGAAAAAATCAAATGAATGGTTTAAATACTGTATATTTTTGTTTTTATTACCAAAATTATATCTTTTTCTTTTTTTTTTACCAGAAATAGTATTACCATACAATATGGTAATTTTACCTAATTTTTTTTTCTCCGTGCAGTAAACACGAAAAATTTAATCATTCACTTCATTTTTAATAAATTATTTTTATGATATGCTCTTCAAAACTGAAACAGAACATTTCCACGTTTTGATATTTTAAAACTAATTAAAGTGAGCAAATCATTTTCCATTTTTAATAAGACTAGATCTTACTCTTACTGTTTTGGCCCTCATGCTCATGATAAAAATTCATTTATATTTTGGATAATTCGATTATGTAGCTTGTACTACCCACAAAAAGATATATATTTACATATAGTAAAAAATTCTGGCTCTCGTGCGGTTTTGGTTTCTTTACATTAAAATGCGAATCAATTAGTGACAGAAAAAAATTTAAGATAGCCGTTTCAAAATAAATTTGACCCATCTAAGTTAAACAAATTGTTAAAGACAAAAGAATTTTTCTCAAGTGAAACAAAGGCACTATTTTTCTCATTTTTATTAGATTTGATAAAAGGAGGATTAATTAATTCACTATATACTATCAAAATACAGCAAAAGTCATCAATAAGACGAGGGTGAAAGAAAAACAAAATACAGAATTAATAAAAAACACGTTGTGTTAAGTCGTATAGTGTACAACGGATTTAAAGGAGGTTTTTAATGGCTGGTGATTTCCATAAACAAACACCCGGAAACAAGTCTAAAGTTCCTGTGTTAGAAAGCCACCACCTACTTATTGCTGCATATCCTAACGAGGTGATATTTTCGAATACTTGATTTTGATTAATGGAAACATAAAAGTAAATAAGAATATCAACTCAATTTTTTACGTTTCATAAGATTTCATAATTTGATCCCGGCAAATATTGAAGCAAAATTCTTTAGAATATTTTAGATTTTGATTTTTAAGGCTGTTTTTCAAATACTCCGTCGTATTATGAAATGATGCTTTTTAGCGAATAATATGCTATTTTTACAACTGGTGAGAGTTTGCAACTGTTACTCATGACTGCTAGTTCAAGTTTAGATTATCTAAAGCCAGCGCTGTCTACGCATATTTAAAAAATAGAGCAAACGTGAATATTGAGAAAAGCCACAGTTTTATGAAAATGAAAAGCGTTTGTGGCTTAAAATTTTAATATTTAGAAACTAAGCATTACCTGGGCTCATAAAAATTTCCAAAAACAGAGAATATGGCAGTGTTTTCCATAATTTTCATCTAGGGAGGAAAATGTCACCGAATTGAAAATTCAGTTATTTGTGTGTTCTGAAGCCCTGATAATTCTTCGCGGCAAGATTATGCACATATGGTTTAAAATCATCGTATTACTTCAAGTGTAAGGCACTTAAATTATTGTTTTTATTATTATTATTTTCCTTGGCGACAGAGCTTCGAAAAACAGATTTAAAAGAATCGGTAATCTTCTAAGAAATCGCTAATTTGGCAACCTTTATTTGGCTATATTTTTTATTTCTGGATTGTTGCTTTATTGCGTTTCTGACTCAGTTAGGTAATTGATATCTTGCACATGTTTTATCAAACGAATGTTTTTTTTAAATAATAGTTTTAGGCAGATAAATTATGTAATTAAAGTTATAATTTTGTGTATTTGGAACAAAACGTATTCATTGCTAGATTAGTTTCATTTCTTATGCTTTTTTTTCTTCTTTTTAAATATAATCTTTATTTTAAAAAGCATAAATTAGTATTCTTGATATTGAGAATAGATTTGTCTTTAAAATTAGGATACGCAAAATAACCTTCGCCACTTTAATGAAATGCCAGCTCAAGCAATGAACAACGAATTGAAAAGTGAACACAAGAGGCTCACAATATGGCAAGATAGTGGGCCGGTTTCAATAACCAGGGACTTTTGCTGAGGAAAAGAATACAGCGCCCTCTGCAGTAAAACTTGCCATTCGTGGAACGTAAAATTAAGATTAAAAACAATTTTCTAAAATATTAATTAGTAAGAGCAGACACGATTGAAAGGATTTAACAACTTACCTTGTGCAACTTTTCGTACAGGCCACAGGCATTGCAAACAGCTTCACCAGAAAAGCTTCTTCTCCATAGTGTTGTATTCGGACATTCACAATTTTGGCAGATTTGATTTCGAGCATTAACGATCGCCTTTAAATATAAAAACATTTATCAATAAATTAAATAATAAGATCTTTCTTTAACTTATAGGTCTCAATTAAAGTAGCAAACCCATACACCATTTAAAAATACATAATATTTGAGTGATAATTTCTTGATGAAGAACATTTGACTGTAAAAGTTTCATAGGTATTTAAATACATTGTATTTACATACTTATGTATACATACTTATTTGTACTTATAATGTGGATTACATTTTTAGTCTTTATAACAAAGTATGCTTTATTGTAGTCATATATTTGAATTTAAATGAATACCAATGAAGCTAACAAACTAATTAATAATCAGGCTCAACTTATGAAACCTAATTCGAAATATTATAAAAAGCTATACTGCTATTATTCTTTTCATTAATTTTAATTTATTAATTATTTAATTTGTTTATTTATTCATTTATTAATTTTTTTAGATACTAGTTTGGATAATTTACAACGAATAGTAGATCTCGCTTTTTTAAGTGTTTCAAAAAATTTTGATTAAAAATTATATTTTCGTTTAAAAAAAAATGCATAACTATCAAAAAAACTTAAAAAAACACTCTAAATTCAAAACATAAAAGTTCCTCAAAATTATAATTAATAATAAATATGTACCCGTATTGGGTACACTCTGACCCACTCTTTTCCATTAATTTTTTTTATCTTTACAAATAGGTGAAGCTTTTAAGATCATGTAAAGTTACAAGCGCAAGTTGATCACTTTTCCTATACATTATTTCTAAGATATCCTAACAGTGGAAAAAATTATGCTTAAGGCTTTCATTTATATTATTCGGTCCTATTATTTTAATTGTGGAGAAGTTAGGATAAAAAGCTGCCACAATTGTTGCAACATTATATTGCAACCAGTTATGAAGTTATTGTAAACGGTAGTTATGATGAAATGTTGCTACAATTGTTGCTGCATTATATTGCAACCAGTTATGAAGTTTCTGTAAAGGGTAGTCATGATGACACGTTGCTATAATTGTGGCTAAATTATATTACAACCAGTTATGAAGTAGTTGGAAAGGGTAATCATGATGAAATGTTGCTATAATTGTTGCTAAATTATATTACAACCAGTTATAAAGTTGTTGTAAAGTGTAGTCATGATGAAATATTTCTACAATTGTTGCTGCATTACTTTACAACCAGTTATGAAGTTGTTGTAAAGGGCAGTCTTGATGAAATTTTACTATAATTGCTGCTAACTTATATTACAACCAGTTGTGAAGTTGTTGTAAAGCGTAATATTGATGAAATGTTGCTACTTACAGACTGTTTTTTCCTGGTCCTCTTTTGAACTGACTCTTCAAGGGCTGTTTGAACTGGAAGAAGCCCTGGATTGGACTGCATGTGGCAGGAATAACACAAGTAATGCCCAGTAGCCTCTTTCAGACAGTGGGAGATGTCCACAACACTCCCACACTTGACACACTGTGTCCTAGGGGGATGAGGAGGGGTGGAGGAGTCGGACAGACGAAATTGATGATGATCTTCTGTGTCATATAACCCTGGAGAAATATACGAATACAAATTTCTCAAAGTTTACCTTTGCAATGGCTCTGCTGAATATCGAAATACACATGAATAACAGCAAAAATGTTAAATAAAAATTGAGCAAATTTTTTGGAAAGCTATGAACCAAAAAATTTGTAACGACATCGAATATCGTCGTCTTATTTCGTCAATTGATATCTGAGTAGATGAAAATTTTAAGCGTTATTTCAGCGAATAGGAATAAATGGTTTTAAAAATTATACTTTGGCAATAAGAAAGGAATATATTGCATTGCCTATAATTCTTATCTACAAACTTCTAATTGGCAAAATTCCACAGCGATTCGTTCACGGCATACGTTTGATTTTCTTGGCGTTTTTAATTTTATTTAAAACATACATTCATTTTAAAACATACATTCGGAAGTTACATTTGCTTGCAAATGCTCTTGAACCCTTCTTTCACACCAAGAGCATTTAAAGACTCTTACATAGTATCTTCATTGATTGAGATCGCCAAAACTTAATGACTTGTCAAAAAAAAATTTAAAAAAATTGCATTCTATTATTCCCAATTGTTTTTCTAAGTTATTATCTTTGCAATTATCAGACAAAAAATCTATTGGTATAAAAGATAAATTTAAAAATAATTATTTTAGTTTTGAGATATAGGGAATATAGTATCTAGAATAAGCAATGCTTATACTTGTCCCTTCTGGTTAGCAAAAATGAGCAAATTACCATCCCTAACTTAAATGCTTACTTAATGCTTCAACAAACTATATAACGATCAATATCAACACATAATCCTCTATCAAAAATATTAAAAAGACAACAAGGAAAAAATATTAGAGAACAAACAAACAAAAGAACAAACAAAAACTATAATTTTATTAAGTTTTTTTTAATTAATTTAAAATTAATTAAT